GCTACTTGCATGAAGTATGCTCTAGTCAAATTCAGGGTACACCTGCTAGACTCTAAGCCTTTTGTGATCTTTACTGATCATGCGTCGTTACGCACTGCGACACAGTCGCCTCATCTCTCTCAGAGAATGGCAAGATGGCTTTCCTTCTTTGCCGAGTATAACTTCGAGGTGAAGTACAAGCCGGGGCGGCTTAATGTAGTGGCCGATGCGCTCTCGCGCAGGCCGGACTACGAGTTAGCTCATGTCACGACAGTGACGTCGTCAGTGCCTGACTTGATACGCGGAGCGTATGCACAAGACGACATGTGCGTAGCGCTGCTACGGGCTCTTGGGAGCGAAGAGTGTAAAGACTCTGACAAGGAATTGTCTGGGCGCTTACGCGCGAGGCTGCATCGATACTCGCTCGATGGCGGCCTGCTGTACTACAGCACCGACTCCGAGGATAACCTTCGTGTAGTCGTTCCTCATGATGAGGATCTTAAGTATCGAATCCTCTATGAGGTTCATGATACGCCCGTGGGCGGGCACTTAGGTCGATAGAAGACCTATGGCTCGGTGAGCTCGATGTACTGGTGGCCCACGATGTATAAATGGATCGGCACCTATGTACGCACGTGTGAGACGTGTCAACGGACAAAGTCCGCGCCAAGCACGGCAGCGCCATTGGCGAGTTTGCCTGTCCCCAAGGGATGTTGGCAGTCCATGAGTATGGACTTTGTGTTTGGCCTTCCCAAAGACAAGGCAGGAAACACAGGTATAGTGGTCTTTGTAGACCGATTGAGCAAGATGGCTCATTTAGCGGCAGTGCCGGACACCATTGATGGTGAAGGTACAGCTTTGCTGTTTTTAGACCGAGTCTTTCGCCAACATGGCTTGCCTGAGGTAATTGTCTCGGATCGAGACCCGCGCTACCGCGAAGTTCTGGTCGTCCCTCTTCAGAGTGCTCGGCACTCGTTTGGACATGTCCACAGCGGACCATCCGCAGACCGATGGTCAAACCGAACGCGTGAATCACGTTGTGGAGGATACCCTCCGAAGCGTATGCGCTGAGGCGCCAAAACGCTGGAGCCAGATGCTTCCACTCGTTGAGTTCGCATTAAATAATGCAGTGCACGCCTCGCCAGGCTACACTCCGTTCTATGTGAACGGCTTGGTTAACCCTCGCGTTCCACTGACGCCGCCACGCAGTGGCTCAGAGCTTGATGGGGGGGGGGTAGCCGAGCAGCTAGCTGATGTCAGCCCTGTTGCCTTTCGCAGGTAAGTCGACGACTTTGTCTTTTTAAAACGGAGCGTAATGCATCAAGTACGCGACGCTATCGCTGAAAGCCAAGACACGCAGAAGGAACATGCAGATGCCAAGGGCAGAAGCAATGTTGAGAGGTTTGAGGTCGGTGACCAAGTTTTATTAAACGCTAATAACCTACCTACTCATGCAGTGTCTGCAGTCTTCAAGACGAAGCTGAGACCTCGGCTTATAGGACCGCTCAAGGTCGTGGCCAGGAAGGGCCTAGCGTATACGCTCAACCTTCCGAAGAAGATGCGCACGCATCCGGTCTTCTATATTGGCTTGCTTAAGCCATATCAAGACCCTGCTCAGGTGAGCGCGGAGGCATTAACGTCAACGGTGGATGGACCACGGACAGCTACAGAGCAGCAGGAGGTAGAGCCACGGGAGACTGAACTTAAGCAAGTGGTGGACCCACATATGGCTGATCAACAGCATGTGGCAGAGCCACAGGTCGCGGAGCAAAGTGCTCGAGATGCAGGAGCAAGGCAAGCTGAACGTTCAGCCAAGCGACTGGATTCTCAATGCCCGAGACATGGTTGTGAGTCAACAGTGGTGGCTCTAACCTATCCACAAGGTGGATCATCTCTTCGAGACCGATGGGCGGTGAACGTGAACGTTCGCGTCGTGACGCCGGCGTCGTATGGACGCAGACGCCGTTCCGGCAAGTGCTGATTCTCCCCGCGAAATCCCAGCTGAGGCAAGGCCTCCTCCCGCTCTGTTCGATGAGCATGGTGAGCTCAACTTTTACGTGAGCGCCTTGTGCGCGCGTAGACGCTAGGGTCGTACTCAGTACTTGGTGAAGTGGAGGGGTTACCCTCACTCACAGAGCTCATGGGAGTTTGAGGTTATCCTCCGGCAAGATTTCCCTGGCGTCGTTGACGCTTACGACCGGGCACATCATGTGCCGAAGTGCCACCATGGCGTGCGACAGCGTCGCCAGGCGCTGGGCGCCTCCCACTAGAGTGGGGAGCGATCAGGTCAGTAGTTGAGCTCAGGCTCTGACCAGTGGCTGCAGCAGCCAGCTCGTACGTATAAGCGGTGCTCGCAGCGGGAGCAGAAGGTGGAGATACCTCGCGGTGCTAGGGACATGGTCCCGAAGGAAGCAGGTGCTTCGCGTTGTGCTGAACAAGGTTCGGGCACAAGCGTCTCGATAGACGCATAGTTGTTTTGAAACAACTTGCTCGATGAGCATGATCCAAATGTGGATGCGCTGTAACAGCGAAAGTGGTGTCCCGGACGGGGATCGAAACACTGGCCTTTGGCATGCCAGGCCGGAGCTCTACCATTGAGATTAAGGGCGATGCCCGTAAGTTTGTCCGAGTACGGACTACTCATGGTGTGAGAGTGCTGCGCCCGAGTGAAATTGAACCACCGACCTTTATCTTCCAAAGCTAACGCTCGACCACTGAGCTAAGCGGGCGTTGCCCTTAAGCTTGTCCATTCTAGTACAACAGCTCATGGAACGAGAGGGCGACGCCCTGGTGGGCTCGAACCGCCGACCTGTGGCTCTCAAAGCCAGCGCCCAACCATTGAGCTAAACGGGTGTTGCCCTTAAGCTTGCTCAAGCGTGGACAATCGTTCATGGAACGAGAGAGCAACGCCCTGGTGGGATCGAGCCACCGACCTATTGCTTGTGAAGCGAGTGTTCAACCACTGAGCTGTTGTCGACGAATCGGACGAGTCAAGAGCCTAGCTCTAAGCGGTTTGCATCTCTTTAAGTGGGGGCGGAGCGCGAGCATAGGTCTGGGACCGCTTGAGAACAGCATGCGCGGTGCGCTTGGAGCATTGGGCCGTCGGCAGACGACGAGAAGTTGGGCATCAACGATGCGTAGGCGTTCGTGAGCTCGCGGAGCTGTACAACACTGGTGTGAGTCGTAGTAACCTCCACCGTCTTGACAAGACGTGTCCTCACTGAGGAAGTTTCGAGAACGGAATGCTCTCATTTTAGTGGGAGAGTGCAGAGGGTTACATGGTGTGGAACACACAGGGGTACGGAGTACCCGGAGAGTTAGCAAACTCTCATTACATACGTTGGAGATTTAACAAGGCCTCTCAGTACGTTGGCTCAAAGCCACACGTAATGCATTTAATTTGGTTTATCTATGCAAGATAGTTAAACAGCTATAATACATTTACCCCGAGCTCTAATCTCAACCGGCAGTGCAAATGCACTTATGTGTGCACATAGCACGTATCCAATCAGCGAATTACCGGTATTTTTCGCTTCCTAACCTTGTAACCTGTCCGTCCGTCTGTCCGTCCGTCGTTTACCGGTCTTGCTTGTTTTTTTTGCCTTTTCGCATGGCTACACCCGGCCTGTCTAATACAGTTTTTTTCCATCCTACCGACCGCGCCTATCTTTCTGACTTGACTTAGCTATGCCTAAATTACAAATATATCCAAAAGCGTGACACAATTAACTCGCGCCCTGATTGGGCTGTACCTGCCGACCTGCGACACTGACTTGATCTGTCGCACGACCAGACTGTCTCTCGCCCTCGCTATTGGACGTAAGGTAAACTTTCTGCCGAGAACGAAACGCATCGATTGGATACAAACACCAAAGCGAGCAGTGTTGACAATTCGATATTTACATTTAGCAACGCAAAACCTGTCCTATGTGCATCAAATCGGGCACGCTAACCACCGCTTTTTGTAGGGGCTTTGCAAACATTATTTTTTACTTCTTCTGGCACCCTCTGCAAGAAGGAGCGCGGCAGCACGGTCATTGCGCTATCTGCTCTCGTGCACCGCACCCGACGAATCCATGCGCGCACGGTACATAGTCTTTTAGTCACTTTTATTGCATGTAAAGTATGAATTTTGTTTGGAAATACGATAAAAAAAATTATTATAGGAAAACCAAATAGTAATATTTTAAAACATTTTAGTATTTTGCCTAATAATAAATACCTGCCTTACAGTACCGTGCTATTGGCTAATATTTGGACGCAAGTAATTGGTTTAAACAAAATATTTTGCTAACATACGCACAGTTTGCAAAATGGTGGGCCCTACGTGCAAGCAATGCGAGGCGAAGATTGACCAGCTTCTGCTGAGCCCGCAGCGGTCTACGACAGATTCCCGGGTGCGCTATGTCTGCTGCGGGAAGCTGCAGTACGGTTATGCGCTCCGTACGATCCGTACAATCAGCGGGCAGAATATCGTGCGGCGTTGTATTGCCTGCGAGAACGGCCCAAAGGCGGTTGAGTTCTGGGAGGAAAAGCTCCCACCACCTGATTCGATCAAAGTGCGCCGCCAGGAAAGCCTGGCAAACGTCATGAAGGCAATGGCCCCTGACTGGTACCCCAAGAAGAAAAAGAGGCGCAGCCGCCCTCGCAAGCTGACCGCCCGAAACGCCAAGTACATCGAGCAAAAGAAGCAGCAGAAGAGCAAGTAATTGGTAAATATACTCTATTAGGCCCCCTTTTTCCTACCTGTCTTGGTATTTAGTACACTGGACTACAGTGCGAGGTTTGGAGCCGCACATACGGTAATCTGCCTATGGCGCAGTCAGTTGTGCTGACACACCTAAATAGCGTAGCGCGTTTCAAATAATATTTAGCACATGGTATCTAATGTGGACAGCCGCAAGCTGACCGTCCCTATCTACATACGCGTCACACGTACACTCGCTCACTTGGACAAAGGCAAGACCACGCTATCGGTATCGTCAAGGCTCACAGCGCTTATTCCACTAATGCGCGCTCATAAATTGAAACTACAGTATTGAGTGAGCACTACACGCGACGAATACACTGCTGTCTACGTAGACACGAGCATGTGTGCGGCACGGCAGACCATACCGGTGGACATGGCAAGTTGATGTGGCTGTACGCAGAGCTGTATTTCAGTGCCCTGTGCAGAATGGCCGAGATAAGAGCTCGGTTGAGTCACGGATAGCTATAATGTGTACCCGCCGCGCGCGTATATATTGCTTTGAATACTGCTAACAGACGCCTGGTCAGCGTGCCTGTATCACCGCGGGTATGACCTGTGCTCAATTAGTGACGCGCTTGATCATATAGACGGATACATCATAAACGTAGGTACAGTAAGCTAGCACGACGATGTAATAGTACCGAGATCACAGCAGTGGCCCCATGCATGGGTGTTGGCTATCACGACCACACCCATTGGCGGCATGGCGGGATATGCGCGGACACAACAAATAGCACGCCGGGCAGTTTGGTAGGCAGCGAAAGTACTTCATCTAATGGCCATGAGCTACATTTCGATTCAAGCATAAGATATCTACGATCTGATAATTTGCCTACAGTCATGTGGCTTCGCATGTTCGTCGTACTAATCGGAAACGGTAAATGCCACTTGGAAACGATCTATACAACTCTGTCAGTCAGTGCCTATGCAAATAAGTCAGTAAGTACGTCGGCTTTGCAAGTCAGATAAATACATGCGGAAAATAGTGGAAAGACCCTTCAGTAATATCATAAACAGCTCAGCGGAACAATTGCAAGGCATCGTATTGGTGTTTGTGGCGATCATTGGCAAATAGTACCTGTCCTAAAAAATACTTCGCGCGAGGAGCTGATCAAACCTTGCTCCAATAGACCGTCGCAATCAAAGATATGGGGTCGACTGCCTCACGGCGATGACGTGCAGATGGTGATATGTTTGAGTAGGCGTATTTACTCCAGTTACACTGAGATTCATCACCTATCTATGCCAATTTGGGATCATCATTAGTACTGACCCGTCTTCTGCACAGCATATATTACATTTGCTACCACGCGCACCTCTTCGTGTCGTTTTAGGAGCTATACGCTCAAATGGGATTATAGCCCAAACCTTCCCGGGTAAGATGGTGCTCATCTTGCAGATCACGTTAAACCCGGGTCACGTCTCCCACAACATGTGAACACTAAGGATAGTATGTGCAGTGTGGTTTTGGAACGTAGCATAAGAAGATCATAGTATACATATATTATGTGAAGCTTCGCTCTCAGTAGAAACTATAAGGTCACCGCAGCGCAGCGGAGGTGATCGGCCCTCTCTACACCAGCCAACCATGCCCTAGCGTCCGCGGAGCGGGCGCCCAGAGCGCTAGTCTCTCCGCTTCTAACCTTGTAGCGTGTCCGTCCGTCTGTCAATAAGTCCGTCCGTTTCCTTTCTTGCTGCTTTTTTCCTGCCTTTTCGCATGGCTACACTTGGCCTGTCTAATACATTTACGTCCCTTCTTACCGACCGCGCCTATCTTCTGACTCGAC